AGGCTTTGTGAGGTCTTCAGAAATCAGTCTAGCTCAGAAACACCATGAGGGCAGGAAGTGTCTATTGCTCTCATTCACCATTGTTTTAAGACACTTAAATGGTGCCCAGCACCCAGGAGAAGGCCGGTAAAAACTTCTTGAATGGGTATTGTCCAGTGGGCTTCTGGGGTCTGAAGTATGTCCAAGAAAACTAGTATGTAAGGCAGCCTAGAGCTGCAATGTCCAATAAGGTAACCAGTAACCATGTGTGGCTATTCAAATTGAATTTAAATACATTAAAATTAAAAATCAGTTCCTCCGTTGCCCAGTTGCACTTACTGAGTATTAAGTACTCAACAACCATATGTGGCTGGTGGCTGCCATAGTGGACAGCACACATATTGAACATTTTCATTATCACAGAAAGTTGTGTTAGTGCTGGTAGAATATCATTAGTAGAGACCTAAGTGGGTGGCTCCAGTCTTTTTAAAGTGAAATTCCCGTGTGACCATGATGTGCACTCATGATCCAGATATAGCCCTTTCATGTCTCTCTCCCCAAAACTGTAGGAATTCAGTCAAGGAAGGTGGGTGGCCCACAGAGGGGGCTGGCTATCTCTTTGAAACTGAAAGCCAAACAACAGTGGGGCTGTAGCAAGACTGACATTATGGTGGTATAGACTTATTTGACTACACTAGTTAGTATGTGAAATATCTGTACCAATTAATAAAGAGCTGATGTTTCAGTCTCCTCCAGTACCTACTTCCTGTGGCCCAGAGGCCCTGGCCATTCAGCTAGTATCCTCCACCCTCCCCTTAATCCAGCAAAATGAGTTAGCTAATGCCAGTCCCATCCCGGGGGCTCGGAGACTGCTCAGGGAACCCCCCACCCCAGCACTGGAGGCCTCAGATTAATGGGTGCTACACAGCCTCCAGGAGGGACTGCCCCCAAAGACTTTTTCTAAGGGCGGCCTTATCACCACCATGGCTGAGTCCCAGATCACAGAACCATTGACTTCAAGAAGACCTTAAAATCATCTTATCCTACCCATTCATTTTACTGAAAGAACAAGTCACAGAGAGTCACCCGGACAGTTTGTGGCCAATTTAGAGATAAAACTTTAATCTCCTAACTTGGTACTTTTTTTTTTTTTTTTGCTACATCTTCCTGTTGTCAGTTTCCTTAGCTATGAAATGAGGATTAATAGCTTTATGCCTCAGAGAGTTGCTAGTAAAAAGAATAATGATACCCCACAATTTACATCTGTCTTACAGTTTGCAAATACCCTTTTGTATACATTCCTCCCAAGAACCTGTGAAAGGTGTTAGGCTCAGAGGCAGCGAATGACCTCCCCAAGAAAACAGAGCTGCTGTGATAACAGACGTCTCAGTCTCTTAGGGCTTGGGAAACTATAAATTCTTTTGTAAATGTAAGATAACATAACCACATGGTATTACTAGTTTTTAGCTTGTGGTATTTTGAAGTTCAAGATTTAGTGACATTGAAAGTGGTAACTTTGTTCAAACGACGCATTTTTTTTTACTTTGATAATGTGCCAATTGCACAGACTTTGGTTCAGCATTAAAACAGAAGTGGGCTGCTTCGAAGTGTATTTTTAAAATGAGAGAATCCAAATTTGTAATTAGCTTTAGAAATGTTAGTTGTGCAGTTTGAGTATATAAAGAGCTTCTGGTAATCATTTCTGTTATTAGTAAGTGGCTTATTTTATTTTTTGTATTTTCCCTTAAGCAATTAGGCATTTTGGAAAAAGCAAAGTATGTTCTTTGAGGGGTCATTTCCTCTATTACTGCTTTTATTTTTCACATCCTATAGTCCTAGTATACTTACAAAATTAGCTACATATATGATTGTGGCAAAGAAAAATCATGTAGGAGCCATTCTACTCACTTGACACCTACCTGTCAGGAGAATGTTATTTAAATTATAAAGAGACGCCACAGTGTAGGAAATGATTCACTTCTTGATACATCTTTTGTCTTTTGGTCTTTTGATCATTTTGATCGAAACATCCCTTACTAAGATAAGATTATTGGGAAGATCAACTTGACACACTCCCAAAATAAAATGGGATTTTTTGTGTGTGTTTCTTTGTTTCTCTCTCTGAACCTCAGCCATTTTATAGAATATATTACATTCTACTATGGAGAAATTGAGTTATAGATAAGGAAAAGAGTGATGTTATTTTCATTCTATATAATAAAGAGGTATCTCTTCAGTTTTCTTTTATTAGCATATAAAAATGATGGCATTCTCTAAACCAATTATCCTATAAGTTTAAATAAATATAAGGGGAAAAGAGAAAGAAAAATTATCAGACAAAGCTATAAATGGAAAGAAACTTGAGGTTGTAAGTCCTGACGTTATCATTACCAATTTGTAGTCACATCTGGGAAGAATGTATTTGTGTGTTTGTTTTTTGAAATATATATTATGTGTGTATCTTCGTGTCTTCTCTGCATGTACCCTGTTCTGTGTTACAGAGCAGACTCCTATCATACTCTAAGAGATATGGCCTCCCTCCTCTACATATAGGACCTTCAAAATGTTTATTATTATCTAGAGTTTTCTTGGATTTTATTTATGTCATTTCCCCTGCTTTGTGTAGTTGCTGTAGGGGGTGCTGATCAAAAAAACATAAAGGTAAGGTTTGTGGTTTATAACCAGACTTGGAGTCATGGTAATAAGACCCTAGGCTTGAATAGGTCTTTGAAATTCCAAACTTCTAATTCCTCCAAACTTATTAGGGTAGAAGGGTGATTGATGAGTGAGCACATACTTTCAAACTTTGCAGCTACCAGTTTTTAAACCAGTGCACTCAGCAGTAAATGAGATAATGCACACAACGAACCCAGGACCAGAGGTGACACATCGTAAGCACTCATAAGGGTTAGCACTCATTATTATGAGCTTGTCTGATTTGATTTTGTCTTCACATCTCTTTCTGCTCCCTGATGGCCATGCTGAGTAGCAGCAAAATGTCCAAGAAATACAAAAACACCAAAAGGAAGAGAAACACAAGTCCTCAGTAGCCTAGAAACAGAATTTATCAACCCACAAATAATTAGCATCTGATCGTCTGTCTTCTTATGATGATGTGTGAATTATTTCCATACCCACCCCCATACCTTTTTCCAAGTTAAGACCCCATGGACGAGTGACAACTCCTCCATTGCTCAGATCTGATTCAGTCTGCTTTAATGAGGTTCCATTTGATGGTAAACTCACGTTAATCCCATTCTCTCTTGTTATGTGAAAGACAGTGAGCTGTTCACTATCTTCTGTGTAAGAAAAACAAAAATAAAATCTCCTAGGTATGATTATCATTGATCAGAGCTTTGTTAAGATGTCTGAGAGGCAAGTGTATTTTTTCCATGCCTATGATAATGTGGATAATGAAACAAATTAACCAGGCACTCATGCTCTGTTAGGAGTGTAAATTGGTATAGCTTTTCTGGGAAATCATCAAGACCCTTAAAGATCATACCAGTTGACCCCATAATTCTTTCTCTAGGATGTACCTAAGATAGTATTCAGAAATTCAGACCATGTGATATTCAGATATATCCCTCACAGTGTTATTTGCATTAACAACAAAAACTATAATTCCCAAAATGAAATCATTACATAAAACTCTTTTCTTTGGGATATAATATTACAGAGACATTGAAAAACATGTTTTTGAAGTGTTTTTAATAATTTGGGGAAATGCTCACAGTCGTTTTAACATTGAATGAAAAATAGAAACAAAATTATCCGGGCACCTGGGTGGCTCAGTCAGTTAAGTGTCTGCCTTCGGCTCAGGTCATGATCCCAGGGTCCTGCTCTGCGGGGAGCCTACTTCTCCCTCTCCTTCAGCCTCTGCTTCTCCCCTTGCTTGTGCTCTCTCACTCTCTCAAATAAATAAATAAAATCTTCTTAAAAAATGAAAAAAAAGAGAAAACTCTGAGTATTTCTATGTGTCTGAAAAGAATACTGGTCCACAATCTTTATTCCCAATTCTGAATCCAAAAGCATTCCAAAATCAAAAGCATTTTTTTTGTAATTTCTTTGGTAGATATACCTGGCTGGAACTAATGTGAGATTCTATTTTATCCAATTTAAGAAGAATATATCTGTTCTGCTGCAGAAATATTATGAAATATGGCTGCTCCAGACCCTGATGGAATATTATGTGATAAATGGTTGTTGCACCAAAATAGTTTTAAAATCCAGACAATTCTGAATTCTGAAACATTCTGAAGCTCAGGAGTTTCAGTTAAGGGGTTGTGGAACTATACAACAAAATATCATTAGTGATTTGATTTATCAGTGCCAAGGTTATAGTTAATCTTTTTTCTTTTTTTTAATTTTATTTAAATTCCAGTTAGTTAACATATAATGTTATCTTAGTTTCAGGTGTACAATATAGTGATTCAACAATTCCATACATCACCCGACGCTCATCACAACAGTGCACACCTTAATCCTCTTCACCTATTTCACCCATCTCCCCCCCCCCCCACCTCTCCTCTGATTTATTCTCAACAACTAAGTCTGTTTCTTGGTACTTTTTCTTTATGCTTTTCCATATTTTCCAAATGTTCTACAATAAGTATGTATCAATTTATCATCAGAAAAAAGTACTAAAAATAAACATTTAAGGCATCAGAGAATCATCTCATTTCAGTCAGAATTCCTGAATTTATCATTAGCTTCCTGCATCTTCCTGGTACTGCAGTTACACATGTCTCTTAAGCCAAGGTGTTCTGGTTTTTTGAAAGAAAAACATTCATGAGGTTGGACATTGACCCATCTCCAAACTGCTTTTGGGTTCAAAAGAGCCCCCAGTTAGGGATGCTCACCTTCAGGAAATACTCACGGAATAGGGTTGAGCCCAGGCATTAATACTATGGGCTATTTTATCATATTCTATTTATGGTTAGCAGGATGGCAGGAGGGAGGGAGAAACCTTAAGGTGCGAGGTTTACTCTGCTAATGGACAGCTCTTCCGCCCCATTCAGGTGGACACTCACTGACCTGTCACAAGGTTACTCTGCAAAGCTTTGGGGTCCATGCCTGAATGGATTGCTGTAGCCTTCTCATCTCTCCCTTCGCCCGGTTCCCTGCATCCTAAGACTCGAAGCCAGCACAGAGCCTGGAAAAATTACATGTAAGTTTTGACCAAGGTTTCTCTTTCCTCAAACCAAACAATGGTAAGAATTTTCTTAGATGATAATAGCAAGTAGCCTAAACCCACATGGGTTACTTTTCTTTTAACAAAGTATCTTGAAAATTCTAATTGAGGAAGGGAGCAGGGATTAGAATCTGCATATTGGAGGCTCCTTAATTCAGTGGATCTTTAACTTGCATCAGAATCACCTAGAGTGCTTGTTAAAGGACAGCTTTACACTGCTGCACTTAACATGGAATAAATTGTTCTTGTCCTCAGTGGAGAGGTGATTGGCTTATTCCAAAGCTAACACTAATCTTCAAACTATGTCAGTCCTGAGAACTTAAAACCCCACAAAAACCTGGACAAGTGCAGCAGAACAGATATATTCTTATTAAATTGGATAAAATAGAATCTCACGTTAGTTCCAGCCAGGTATTTCTACCAAAGAAATTACAAAAAAAAACCGCTTTTGATTTTGGAATGCTTTTGGATTCAGAATTGGGAATGAAGATTGTGGACCAGTATTCTTTTCAGACACATAGAAATACTCAGAGTTTTCTCTTTTTTTTCATTTTTTAAGAAGATTTTATTTATTTATTTGAGAGAGTGAGAGAGCACAAGCAAGGGGAGAAGCAGAGGCTGAAGGGCCTCATGCCCAGAATTTCTGATTCCGCAGACCTGGGGCAGGCTGGAAGGTGCTGTGCTAACAAGTTTCCAGGTGGTACTGAGGCAGGTGGTCCAGGGACTCCACTTTGAGAATCACTGCTTTAATTCCAGTGTAACTGAAAGGATGAGCGATAAAGGGAGAAAAATGTATTAAATATTCAGTATGAAATGCCACTAAAGTAAGCTATTTAGTGCTTTACTGAATAGATTGACTCATCTCAAAAAAAGAGAGTTTTAAGGTCCTCTCAGCACTCACATTTGAAAGTCCAGCCAAGTAGGTGCCGTTATTCTGTGCCACTTTAAAGTCAATAGTACCAGTCATTCTTTGCCCTCGGATTTCAACGAGGGTGACTAACTGCGCTGTGTGAGGCGAAAATGACAGCTACGGTCCTTTTGCGGGCACGCTCATCATGTTTTTAGATACTCAAAAGGGAAAATCCTTTTTTCTCCTGGGTTGAGAAATCTATTGCTGCTTTTCAAAGTGAATCATCCTAGTCTTCCCTTTCCTCTCATACACTTAGATGGGACTTGATTTACAAACCACATGTGGGAAGAGAGGCGCATCCCTAATAAATAGTCCAAGTCATCAAGTCCAGGTTTTTGTGGGGTTTTAAGTTCTCAGGACTGACATAGTTTGAGGATTAGTGTTAGCTTTGGAATAAGCCAATCACCTCTCCACTGAGGACAAGAACAATTTATTCCATGTTAATGGAAAAAAGTGGAAGATTTTGGCTCAACAAATGTGCATTTGGATATATGTGAGCATACATGCAAATGTACATATGTGCCTATGAATATATATGCATTTTGTATATTTCTAGCTTTCATTGTAAGAATTTTAAACATTTTTCTTTTGTTTCATTGAGTTGCTATGAGTATAAAAATAGGATGAGTGATGTTGTCCAGGAAATGTATGAGAAATTTCTGGGCATTTTAAACCTGTGGATAGCATTGTGATTTATAACATTTTACTTGGTATGGTAAAATGTTCATTCAGAGTAGCTCTTAGGACGTACAGTTCTTTTATTAGAACTCACAGAAATTGAGAATTATCACTGTTAATAAAGCAGTTCCAAAGCAGACATAATGAAGGAGCTTATCTATTGCCTACCCATTGGCAGAGCCAAAAATCCTGGTTATAGATTTAAGTGCGTGTATTTAAAATGAAAATCACAGAATCAGATAAATTAGGCAAAAAAGTGTGTGATGAAAGGTGTGATGAAAGAGTTCTGTAAGAAACTAATCCAGAGCTGTCTTCTGGGCGCTGCCCAAAGCCTAACAGTGCTGGTAAGAGGGCTGATAGAGTTGTGAGTGATGTAATTATGTATTCTTACTCCACCCTCACAAACTATAACATCTCTGTCAAGCACTAATTATTCTGCACGGCATTCTTGGAATCGAGGTTTTCAGTGTATGAAGCATCTTCACCAGGTTATGGAAGAAGTAGGTTGGATCAAATGCTCCTTAATCGCCTTCCTGCTTTGGCGTCTGTGAGTGTCCATGTTTACACCTCAGGTTTTCCTGTAGGGATGACCTTTAATGTCAGTCAGTTTCATGAGTACAGGCTGGGGAGGGAAGAAGGCTGCTCTGACACCCAGGTGACTTGCCTCAGGTGACTCCGCACGGAGAGCTCCTGCCAGATGCGGCAGAACCTGCCTAGGTCACTCCCTGCCATCACTGTGCACCGAGCATCTCTGTAAAAGTACCATGCTTGTGTGGGGACAAGGGGCATGGGAACCTTCTCTCCTTTCCACTCAATTTTGCGCTCAACCTAAATCTGCATTAAAAACTAAAGTTTACTGGGGCGCCTGGGTGGCTCAGTTGGTTGAGCATTTTGCCTTCGGCTCGGGTCATGATTCCGGGGTCCTGGGATCAAGCCCCATGTTGGGCTCCCTGCTCAGTGAGGAGTCAGCTTCTCCCTCTCTGTCTGCCACTCCCCCTGCTTGTGCGTGCTCTCTCTCTCTGTCAAATAAATAAATAAAATCTTAAAAAAAATAAAAAATAAAGTTTATTAATTAAAAAAAAACAAACTAAATACCAAACAGTATGACAATTCTTCAAAAAAAGTAAACATGGAATTACCATATGATCCAGCAATTCCACTTCTGGGTATGTACCTAAAAGAACTGAGAGCAGAGACTTGGACAGACGTTCCTGTAGCATTATTCACAATAGCCAAAAGGTGAAAGCAACCCAAATGTCGATCGGCAGATGAATGGATAAGAACAATGTGGCATATACATACAATGGAATATTATTTGGCCCTAAAAAGATACAAAATTCTGACACATGCCACAACATAGATGAACTTTGAAGAAACTAAATGAGATAAGCCAGATACAAAGGGACAAATGTTGTATGATCCCACTTATATGAGGTGTCTAGAGTTGTCAGGCTTATAGCCAGAAAATAGAATGATAGGTGCCAAGGTTTGGGAACAGAGGGGAATGGGGAGGTGGTGTTAAATGGGTAGTTTCACTTTGGGAAAATGAAAAAGTTCTGGAGATGGATAGTAGCGATGGTTGTACAACAGTGTAAATGTACTTAATGCCACTGAATTGTACTCTTAAAAATGGTAAATGTTGGGGCACCTGGGTGGCTCAGTCGTTAAGCGTCTGCCTTCGGCTCGGGTCGTGGTCCCAGGGTCCTGGGATCGAGCCCCGCATCGGGCTCCCTGCTCCGCGGGAAGCCTGCTTCTCCCTCTCCCACTCCCCCTACTTGTGTTCCCTCTTGCTGTATCTCTCTCTGTCAAATAAATAAATAAATAAATAAAATCTTTAAAAAAAATGGTAAAGTTATGTATATTTTACCCCAGTAAAAATAAATTAATTAATTAATGATTTTTTTTTAACTGATTACCAGAGCTCACTTTCCTTCCAAGAATGCTGTGCAGAATAACTAATCAGTGTTTGACAAGGTTGTTATAGCTTGTGAGGGTGGCATGAGAATTGACAGCTGTGTCCCTCATACCTCCCGCAGCCCTGATTCTTTCCCCGCACCTTTTGGGCAAGGGCAAGGGATCTACAGAATGTGTACTTCAGTCTCAGGGATGGGTTTCCTCTCAGGGCAAGGACACGTTTGTCAGAAACTACCAGAGCAATTTGCCATAAACAGCTGTAATCGCTACCAAATGCCACTGACACATACAGGAAAGCTGTTTCACTGTGATGGAGGAGTGTGTACCTACCTGTGCTCCTGTAATGGGACTGCTCAGTTCGTCTGAATTGTGTGTTCATGAATGAGTCTGCGTATACAGTGCCCCATAGTGCACGGGGTTATGGCACTGTGTGCATCGCTGTGAGACATACCAGGTCCTCATCAGTATGGTGGATGCTGAGGCACAAACCAGGGAATGTGGACTTGATTATAATATAGCCACCGACTGAAGCCTAGTAGAAAAAAGGGAAAGCTATGGAAGAAAATTAATAGCAAATAATTCTCCTCCAACGGGGCCTCAAATTATTATAAGGCCTGTTTTACAGACTCCAAATGAAATATAATTTACCCCTCATCACCAAATCACTGTCATATTAGGTGTTAGTGTAGCTGTAAATCACCGAACAATCTAGTGAGTCCTGCAGTTCTGTGAGGAATATGCAGGATTGAACTTATTACTAGGTTAGTCTCTTCCGGCCCTACTTTGGGGAGATTTTGCTTTTTTCTGTGTTTCTTGAAAGCTGGACTTGGAGAATGATCAGCAGATTCTCATGAGACCCAGTAGCCAGGCTTTCTTCAAACCTCTTGTATTACGTTCAGGGCCTGCTCTTAGGTCTGACCAGGGCTTGTAATTCCTGAAGAGCAGTGCATAAGGACTCATAGTTCCAAAAAGCTCAGAAACCTCTGTCCTAAATTATCCCACTCCCTCTTAGGAAGGAGGAAGGAATAATCAGGGAATAACCAAGATTACTTGTGTGTGTGTTTGTATGTATTTGGTTTAAGGAAAAGGTATAACCAAGAAAGAGAGAAAATAAAGTCATCAGTGTTAAAAGTACAATATGTATAAATCAGTCCCATCATTTCTACCCAGACTTTTCAAACCTGCTTAGAAATAAACCCTCTAGGTGATGGAGACAGGGCCAAGTAAAGGTTTCAGCAGCTAAGATACCAGAAACTGGAATTAAAGGTTTTTACAGAAAAGAAAATCCAGGGCAGCAAGTCAAAGGGAGAGAAAAGCAAGTGTTTATTCATCCTTGACATCCACATGTGGCTGGCTGCACCCTGAGCTTGAGTTGAAGTGACATAGCTATAGAATCAAATCAAAATAGATTCAGCCCCATGAGTTCAGAGACCATGATTTTTAGATGGACACACTGACACAGATTTCCCCCCAG